ACTACTTGATTAACTGCTAGTGTAGGACTACACTACTTGATTAACTGCTAGTGTAGGACTACACTACTTGATTAAAGATGTGTATAAGAGACAGATATTATATTGCACTCTAAACTAATTCAAATATTATTATGAGCAAACTGATACGCCCTCTGTCAACTTCAAAATCCAATAAGGACTTTCATAAAAAGCGTACTATTTTTAAAGCGCCGGATACGAGGTTCACTCGAAAGATTACAGTAGTAGGCCTAACTCATAATTAGTATATTTATCAACTCCCTCCCAGACGAATAGGTAAATGCAAAGCTCTATTTAGAACAGGCAAATACTGTATAAGGCACAAGTAGTTGGAAGACACATAGTGAATACAGACATTCGTTGCAGCGATCTGTAAAGTTTCATCCTAAATCTTGAATAATTCCGCCCTCCATGAAAGGATGCATCGTTAAAACTCAAAAAACTAATACTTTAGAATGTACCATCGATCATTATATGTAGTTTTTCGAAACAATACGTAATACTAATGTCATAGTTAATAATAATAATAATAATAATAATAATAATAATAATAATAATAATAATAATAATAATAATAATAATAATATATAGCGCCTTTTGCCAAAGGAAAAGTTAATATTATAAATTATAAATACCGGCATACATGATTTTCCCGTTAAAAACATGATACTTAAAACTGCATACGGTAGATTACACAGTAAGCGGTCGTTTCACATTGAGAAAACCGACGCTGAGAAAATGAAGAAGACACAAAACTTTCCTGAACCCTTGGCAGTATAAATATCTAACTTGTGTCTTAAATACAGATAACATTATTATCTATTGGATCAACAGTGGGTAAGGCGTAGACTTAAACATTATCTCTACCTAACGAGCCTGAGTAGGAGGTGCATAATGTAACGTTAACGCATTAATTAATAGTAAACTATTACAGGCTTATTCATTTCTTTTGAAATTAACGAAAAGTTTCTAACGGTCACTTTCTGTCACGATATCAATTAAAGTCATAGGCCTCCAACTGATTAACTGCTAGTGTAGGACTACACTACTTGATTAACTGCTAGTGTAGGACTACACTACTTGATTAACTGCTAGTGTAGGACTATACTACTTGATTAACTGCTAGTGTAGGACTACACTACTTGATTAACTGCTAGTGTAGGACTATACTACTTGAATCAGACTCCATGGTGGAATCTGTACTATCAATTCCACCGATTTCTGTTATTAATTTTTGAAATGTTTTTGTATTCTAAACAGATGGTGTATTGTGTTTATCTTACCGATCGATATTATATTCATATCTCGAATATGTATGACACATTAGTAAAATTGTCTGTCAGTTGGGGTCCTACTTATGCTAATAATGCTGATTGAAATTATCCTTGCAATTACCGAATGACTTTGATTAAATTGATAATCATCTTCGAGTTAACAACATGATTTCTATAAATTATCAATGTAGAATCTTGACTTCTAAACAGCCACAGTGAGTGCCCGGCTTCAGTTGTGTTGGAGACGGTGTCCATTGACTGGTAGGCCTACTGGTACCGGTAGACATTTATAATGCGCCTCTTCCTATGCATAACCCATTAGAGGGATGCCTACATTATTTTCCAGTGATTTGAAAGATATAGGCTTACTACAGGCTTACGTAGTCTGTTGTCTGCAAGCTGAAGTGTTCAACTAGTCAACAATTCCGTGCAAATATAACCGTTCCTCGTGCCACGGTGTAGGCCTATAAAGTAAGGTTCCCAAATCAGTATATATACCTATATCTGAAACAGCTTTCTTTATAATCCAAGTTATGATATACCTATCTTCTTCACCTCATTCCAATGTTCATGAGGTAGAAATGATGAATCAAAAACACGGTTGCTTTTTTTTTATTCAACCAAACTATACCACTGGGCGAACGGCCGTCGTGGGTACCGCATCATCTCATTCCAATGCTCGTAAGACAAAACTGAACACTTTCGACCAATCAGAACCCTTCCAAGTTCGTCCATTGTTGTGTCTTCAGACGGATCTTCTATCTTTTTGCTATTAGTCACAACGATTAAAAATTTCACTTTGTCTAGTTTCTCCTGCGGAACTTCAAAATACATAAGCTCATCAAATTCTGGATTCAGGTCATTTTCTTTCGATTGTGTTCTCCTTCGTTTCAACTTTCGACCTCCTAGAATTAAAGTTACACGAACACACGTATCTGTGAAATAAATATTGAAAATTAATAATTAAAATGATACAGTTTGAATTTAGATTCATCATTAAATATTATTGTATATAATTATGTAAATATAGCCTGTTAGTAAATATTAATTTCATGTGAAACAAGACTAACAATAGGTAAATAATACGGTATAGTACCGGTATGGTATATAATCAAATATTAACTTTATATATTACAATTCAGTCTGGTTAATTATTTATTAATATTATTATTATTTATGTATTCTATTGTTTCATATCTCACAGCTTAATTAATAGTGTAATAACACTTAAATTAGAATGACAGGCATTAGGTCATTTACGTCGGTACCGTGTTTCAAAGGACTAACCGGTCCGTCGGTGCAAGGTTCTATATCGGTACGTGATAACACCGCGGCATAGTTCTCGCAGACTGAGGCCATTATCTTTTTCTTTTAAACGCTAAGACATTAATGTTCGTTAGGTGAAAGATCCATGCTTGACATTCACATTGGTGACCTTTGTAGATTGACGTTTCATCGCAAATAGGCCTACGTTTCAATTAACCTTTAAGCACGACACCTTCTTCGGCGCCATCGTCGCCGTGCTCTGACCGATTCCATTATCATTAAAGCGGCTGGCCCATGATTTGCCGTAGGATTTTCTTATTAAATCATATTTTAATGTTGTAATGTTTGCAGGCCTATAAATAAAAATTGGATACCCTAAATTGCCGACCATTAACGACAAAATGTCTAAAACACTTCCGGTTGTTTTAATGACTATATTCCCATTATCCACCAGGTTAGATCATGAATTACACAAGGTGAATGAATATGATTATGAATAAAGCGTCGGTCTGGTTTCCAACAAAACCTGAATAGAAGTACAATCATAATGAAGCGAGTGAAACAACATTAGAAAAAAGAGAAGCAATAGCGTATACCTATTCAGGTTTTTTTTCCCCTTTCTTATGTATTTCCAAAGTTGATAACTTTTACCAAACTTCAAAATGAGCAATTAAATTGTTATCTATCTTTCTATCTATAATCATTTATACCACGCTATCGCCAAAGGATTCAAATTGTAGATGTATATCCAAAACCATTGTACTTTTGATTGGAAAATACATCTTTAACTACAATAGTAATTCATTTACTAATGTTTAATCAATCCATAAATTAGTATTTGTTTTTCTCGTGGGGGCATTATGAATACATAAATTGGAGTACAGTATTACAACCATCAAGCTTAATTAAAACGCGATAAAATATCCCGCATTGAAAACGTATTCTGACTTTCGTGGATTTATTGTATGCCAATTGTTTGTGTTTTTTTTGTACTGAATAAAGCCAAACCAAAGGGGGATGTGTCTTTTATGTTCAATTAACAAAATACTAAACTGATGTTATCCCTACAACAAATAATTAACCATTTGAATTCCGATATATTGCATCCTTTTGCTGTTTTGGTTGTTGTTTCTGTTTAACGTCAAAATCAAATCCATTCATGTAGGCCTGAGCTATCTTCTCAGTGCATAACTCGTTAAGATTTATTATAAGGTTTATATAAACATAATATGAAGAACAAACTGACCACACTGTGAACTTCCTGCCGTAGGCTTCAAATTTGTTGCCCGTAAGACACCGACTATCAAGCGATTGGACGTTGATAAGTAACATAGAGAGATGCAGATTTCTCCAAAATAGCTCTGGAATTAGATAATTTTAAGGGTTATTTAAGGTTCAGCTTGCTGAAACTAATGCAAAGAAGACAGTTTATCCTAGAACTCTGACCGTCTTATCACTTGTGACATTACTTTACTTTTAGAAACTGTCTTTATTAAATTGATGTATAATTTGTTTGAACCTATGGGAAGTAAATATTGGTAGTTTAAGATCTATAATTTGAGCTTATAGTAATAAAATTGCACTAAATATATGAAGCCTGGATTTTTAAATATGATATGATAGTTTATGATCAATGAAACTAGGTCTAAATTTGGACCCGCCCTCCACTACCTGATATTACTGCTGATATATTGCAATGTATCATAATCAGTTTCACACTACTGGTTGAGTAACTTTTAGCTGCAGGAGGATGAGATGTATATTTTGTTAATTGTTGCGTTTATTTTTTCCCCTTCTTATTAGCCTAAGTTGTTTATAATTTGTAGTTAGTCTATTTATATTTTTTGTATTTTTTAAAAATTTGCTATTATGATGATAAATATTATAATGAAAATGTGAACTACTTGTCATGTTACAAGAATCAACGACTAGCATCCATTAATGAGTGAAATTTACAAAATGCTTTCCCCTTCTTGTTAGCTTAAGTTGTTTATAGTGTGTAGTTACTTTGTTTATAGTTTTTTGTAGTATGTTTATGTATCGGTATGTGGTGGAGTATGACTGCGCCAATTCATGTGTGCTGTACCATCGTCATCTTCATTATCATTATGATCATCATTGTTATCAATATTATTATTATTATTATTATTATTATTATTTTATTATTATTATTATTATTATTATCATAATAATAATAATTATTATCATAATAAAATAATAATAATAATAATAATAATAATAATTATTATTATTATTATTATTATCATAATCAATTTGAGTAATCGTAGGTCTATATTTGACTGATCATGATGTGATTATAATATGATTATACATAACATACTGCTAAAAATAAGCCCAGACCTAACGTTTTACATTACTTGAGAGAACCAATTTTGGTTCTACATACTTTAGCTGACGGTTGAATGTTGAATACGTCCCTGTAAGAACCAGTGAAGTCAACCTCAGCCAAATTCAAGCTAACTTCTCCCACCACGGAGGGCTTTGTGAACTTGTGATGTTCACAAACATATAACGTCAGACGATACAATTGTATGTCCATTGGATTAATGGCAGCATCGAAGCTTTCTTCGAAGATGGGATTCAATGTTTTGTGCTTTATTGTCGTTTGGAAGGAAAATGACGGTTGACTCTCTGAAATACAAAAGACCAATATTTTGAAAAAAAACCAAAAAAAAAAACCCTCATCAACATTAAACTTGTCGATTAAAGAATGAAAATAAAAATACATAGCACACAGCAACTGGAACAACGTCCTACACGATCAATGCGGCAAACATTTGGATCATGCAGTATCGTCGTACAAGTAAAGTGCATTGTATAATTATTACTTCTAAGGCGCTTTTTAAAGTCAACGAAGAGTTAACAAATGACAATAAAAATAATTGTTATACATTTCTTCTTTACCATGCACTGGGTGACCGAATCAATGCAAAAGCATTGTTATCCTCCAGGGCCCAGCAGAATAAATAAAACTAATTTCATTTGAAGTTCAGTATACAAAACTTGGGATGCCAATATGATTTTCAAGATTCAGCATCAAAATATTGCATAACAAGTCTGTAAAAATGTTAACTTCGTAATATTATAAAATTGACTAACCTGTTAATTTCAGCAACGCAAACCTGACAAAGGGGTCCGTGCTACCACCGTACGACTTGACCGGGAGGTCATAGACTTGGTGTATTGTTATTACGAGTCCAGAATGCTCTTGGTAGCCAATCGATAATTTCAATTTACCGAAATCTTTATTCTGTGATATAATATCTTGTGGAGGAAGGAATTGCATTTCTTCTAATTGCTCCGAGAGTATTGATTCTTTAGAGTCGTACATATTCGTGCTCGCTCGACGTTCCTTCGTTTCCGCTAGTGTTATCTGTAAACATGAAGAAATATAAATATTCAGACTGTAGGCCCTAACTGATCGTTTGATTGTGATTGTTTATACAGACTGTCATTTGCTGTAGAGAGGCTGTGAGAGGGCTTTTGGGACATTGGAAAGTTCTGTAGCGGATCCAGGATATTAAAACAGTGGGGCCTGGGAAGAGACTCTGCAGATGGAGTCAAGGCTGAGGCTGAGGTACGATATTTTATATCTAGATTTGCCTCTTGATGGCAAATCTAGAAGGACGGAAATAGTTGTCTCAAACTTAAATTTCCTTTCCCCAATTTTTTATTTTCCAAAAAAAATGTGCGGTGGTGACCGTTGGGTCCCGTTGATTTCGCCGCTGCTTCATTTCTAAAATAGCCTATATGGTGTGGTCAACTAAGTACGGCAGCTCGTCATCTGAGAGTGCCATGCTAGGCCAGCTCGTCATCTGGTCACGTCACGATACCCTTGGAAGCTTGTCCTCTAGTGACACTGCACTGCCAATGAAGCCACTATCTGATGACACTCATTGGCGGATTTAAAGGGGGAGGGGGAATCGGCCCCACCCCCCTAAATTTTTTAAAATAAAAAAAAAAGAGAAAACAGAAAAATCTACTCAAATTAAGTGTGGCATTTCCGGACATCTAGAGGTGCCATAATCATAAATTTTCTTCCATCAGCGCCAACCAACCGTGGTACCGGCTGAGGTAGTATAGACCCTCCATCTGTGAAATTCCCTCTCTGGGCCCCTCTATTTCAAATTCCTGAATCCGCCACTGATGCTGTCATCCAATGTTAATGATAGCCCACCATGTCATGGAGTTTCATTCGCTAACGATAGATCACCGTCTAATGATAGTGACATCCACTGCCAATGGAAGACCACTATCTGATGATGCACTGATTATTCGCTAACGATGGCTCATCCTCTGATGACGCTGGCATTACTGGCAATGACATCTCGCTAACTAAGTGCTGCCATCATCAGAGCTGACACCATATGCCAGAAGCAATACCATCAACAAATGAATACATGACATACATTTCACATAGGGCTAGATTAATAATCAACATTATAAGCTCCAGCCATGAAACTTTAGTACAGCTGGATCTTCTAAAACGTGTACCAGATTATTAGATATGACATAGTATAGTAACTCACGACTTGTCCAAATGAACCATATGCCTCGCTACCATAATTGTTGTATGTCCGCTCATGGGCTTGTCGGCGCGGGACTTTCGCGTAATTTGGATTAACGCCATCTGCAAATAAAATAAAGTGTTATGTAGCGACGACATAAAAAGACACGGACCGCTCCGCTAAGCCCAGCCCTTGTGTTATTGCTAAGTTCCCACAAAACGTAGACTCACCTCTTCGTTTGCATCTCTTGTATAACGAACACGAAATACAGATAAGCACTACCACAATGATAATTACGACAGCTATAGCCCCTAAGATGATGCCGATCTGTTCCGCTTCCGTGAAATCTGCGCTTTCAAACATTTCAAATTCCTATCAATATAAACATCGATATTGCGTGTAAACGTTTTAGAAAAAAAAGTGTTAATTTCATAGAATACATGATAGACTAGTTATGAGTGATAGGCCTATCTAAAAATGTCAATGAAGCTTTGCTGGGTCTTCCTTAAAAAAAAATATAAATCACTTCATATCCATCCTTCATTCGCCCCCTTTTGTCACCACATTCATTTATTGGAGCCAAAATCGTCAACTGCAGTGTTATGTGCGGGTGACTAAATACTATCTTGGGATATTAATATTCATATTTCACGCATTTGAAGATATATTATTAACTATCAATGATAGCTTTGCTTGTGTATAACGTGTCCCAAACGCAAAGTTACTTTACCATACATGTTTATGTGTCCAAGTTGGTGATATGTAATACATGCTTAATGCGTCCCGAACGCGACCGCAGGGAGCACAGCGTTACTTTTCAGTGTCAAAAGCAGTGATATATCATCCATTCTTAATGTATCATAATATGTGGTGTGCTATAAAATTAATGTTTAATGTATCGAAAGATGTGGTGTGCCTTGGAGGTGATATGTCAATGCATGTGGCGTGAACACGCATCTTGTATAATGCAACTATAAATCTGTAAGATACATGTTACAGAGCAGCGAGTTTAATTTAATAACCATGACTGAAAACAGCTTCATTCCCCAAACCCATGACTTTGTGTAGCCTACGTTTATCATAGTTTATTTCCGGTCTGAGAGTTTATTTCCAGGCGTCTTGAAAACAACAATTTCCTGGACCCCGTATGGTAGTGTTGTTTCTCGATCGCCCCCCCCCCCCACCTCCCCTTTCGGACATATCTGGATTCGCCCCTGAAAGTGATGAACTTCTGTATTGATGTAGGCCTGTCTTTGGATCGTGTGCCTTAAATAAAATACGATAAATCCTTTCTAGAACATGACTATTCAGAGAACATCCTTATTAAAGGGACACTTTTTCGACCATGAAACAACAATAGCCGTATACATTTTAACACTATTCAGGGGACACTTTTATTAACTTAAGGGACGTTTTTTTGGTCCCGGAGGTGTCCCCTTAATAGGGTTCTACTGTATTGGAAACTGAAGCAATGAAACTCAAGAATCTTCAAATTCCGTGGAATATAAACAAGTATTTAGAAGCAATAGTGTAGGTCTTTGGATACACTTGGGGAAATATATTAACATTGTGATGAAGGTTAGGCCTATATTCAAGAATATTTGTTTTGCATATCAGTATCGTGTTGAAAGTGCCTTTGTTTCAAAGATACAGTGACATTTAGGTGTAGGAGCGGTTTGGCTCAGCGCTTGCGGTTCTGCTTCTTAACCAGGGGTGGTGCCAGGATTTTCCCGACGGGGGGCGGGGGCGATGTCCCTCAAAACATTTCGCAAGTGGTCCAAGGGGAAAAGCACCCGAAATTGTTGACAATTTAGGGGTTTCAAATTTTTTTTTCTCCCCCCACGATTTGTGGTTTTTGTCTCCGAAGGGCAGGGCAGGAAACGTTAGTATAATTCTCAACAGGGAGCTGAGTATGTGTTGCGCTTGATCCAATAACCGGGGATAATAATGTGAAGCGCTTAGAGGCCTTGCTGGCATAAGCGCTATAATTATAAGTCAAACATATTATTAATTAGCAACAGTTTAGAATATGAATAAAATATTTTTAATTGAATAAACTTGTTAATGTACTTTATTTAAGCTATCACCATATTCTGTAAATCAATTCTCCTAATATTTTTCAACGTTATGTGCATGCTTTTTAAGAGTTACTAACACGTATTTTTATAACAGATATACCGTACAAAGTACGCGTATTTTTATATCTTATTATGTTTGCATATGCTCTTGTTTTTAACAGTGCAATAAATGTTTATTGCCTAGTATTTCAAAATGAACAATAAAATAAATCATGAATAGTGAATCTTGAATTGTTTCTTTAGAATAAAGAAAAGAAGCAGTCCATAGTATGTGCAGCTTTATGTTAAGTCAGTGTAAAAAAACAGAATAGTTGAAGTAGTTGAAGAAAAATTGTTTTGCACCTTCGGCGCAACCTTTCTTCGCGCTTTGCGCTCGTGTAACTGGGGGCGCCCCACACCAACCCTTGCCCCTCTTACAGCTTCCCCTCTTAGCGGCCATGATCCATCCAGACAGCAGCACAAAAATAATATATAATCATAATTTATGATAATTTTAATAATATATATATATATATACATATATCTATCCTGTATCCTATATATAGTGGCAATATATATATACTGTCTCTTATACACATCTAGATGTGTATAAGAGACAGGCCTTCTTGTCATCTTTAAACAGTTTTGCGGCGTAGCCAAAAACAAGTAATTCACCTTCTTCTTCTTCACGAGCTCTTTCTTTTTCCCGTTGCTTTTGGTCGTAAATCTGAGCTCTTTTTAATTTCGCTTTTCGACTGATCAGCGCCATTTCTATGACCGGTCTGTCTGTTTGATATCGATATCGTAAACGCCGCGGTAGCGGTGTTGAACTAGACTAGACTAGACGGACGCGATAGAGTGAGCCACCAATCGACGATGTGAATACTTTCGATTGGAAAATAAAAAGGCGGAGAAGGAGATCTTTTCAGAAGTTTAATAGTTGTGATACATTACTAAATGCCCCATGACTACTTTTATCCCAGGATGGAGCATTATAATTTTTCTCATTTGACTTTTCTCCTGTCTAAATAAAATTAAACATTTTAAAAATTAATTGCGGTTGTGGATATGAACAGTGCCTTGCAGAGTTCAAGATAAAATTGTAAAGAAACTTGTTTGTGTTTTAAATATTTCTCATCTTTTTAAGTAATTAAGTGTTTTTTGTCTTATGTTTCTCGTCTCTTACCTTTTTGGACTCCATTGGAATTAAGTCTTTTCGCTTCCTGTTGTTGTTCAGCCCCCCCTTTTTCTCATGATTTCATTATATTTTTTTATTATTTTTTTTTTGACATATTTGATCGTATTTTACACTTTTTAATGTTTTTAACCTGGTGTTTCAATTTTTGTTCAATTGAATTGTATTTTCTTGTTGTACTTCGATGTCAAATAAAATCAAGTCAAGTCAAGCCTTATATCGC